TGGAATATTAATGGCTTATCAAACAAAAATATCAGAACATGACTTTAGTTCTTTCTGGTTGCTCAACTGGATCTTCTTCCTTCATCTTGTTCACTTAAACCCTAGCTTTTCTCTTCCTTGTTTTTTGTTTTCTTATGTTTAGGCGTGTTTGAGCTAATCTTAATTTGTCTGACTTGGTCAAATCTGACATGATGTAATATATTAACGTAGTAAAACACCACACGTGAACTTAGAAATCTCTATCAATGAATGGATTGGATAATTAGGTCAGACTCCATGAAAAGGAGTCACTGACCCTAAGAAGTCTAAACCATCACCTCAAAGACGAAAATGGCGGCTTAAGAAAAGGAAAAGCACTTTCAAAATTCTTTGATCAGCCTGGTTAGTTAGGTCAGGACTCAGAACCGATCGACTCCTGATCCTGACTTCTTAAAAAAGGAGCAAATTAGGAGGCCCTATGGCTGAGTTAGTCTGAGGTCTATGACTTATCCTTCTCATTGAGGCTTTAATTTTTCAAAAAGAATAATTTTTCTGACAAATGGTAATTATCATATTGAAGAGAAAAGCACTTTGATTAATTTCTTCGACAGAAGTCAGGCTACAACCTTTAGATTTCAGAGGCTACACGGATGGCTAGACTTTATGGTGGAAAGCTAAGCCCTTTCTTTTGTGATGAAAAACATCACCCTTTCACCTGACTGTCACACGCAATTTCTTGGCTGCCATATTCTCAAGTCAAGTTGCTGCATGGAAAGCTCACCTACACATTAAAGGAACCGCACTACCTGAACACTCTATTTCTGTTAGACTCTATTCCAATGGGGTGCAAAGCTCAAGAGGGCTCTTATAGTTAATTTCTGAGGAATCAATTACATATTATTGATACCATATTAAAGAAAGGTAGAGAAGTTTAGACATCCATATAGTGTCATCATCCATTAAGGGGCCCCCGGGATACCTAACCAACATTGCCAAAGATTATATGACAAGAGAAGTGATAAAATGATGAAAGATGAAGTTACATAGACTCCTCCGACATTTAAAAGTCCTTCACACTGACTCACGGTTGATTTGATGTTTGGTGATGGGCTATATATCATGGATTTGCTGTCTACAATATTGTAGAAAGAGGACAAAAACAATGGAAGCCCTAGGCAATACCCCGGATGCTGGAGATACAACAGAGAAATCCAAAACATTAATAGGATCGTTCTTGTTTGACTTATCCGACTTGATAGTGCCCATGTTTGTCACCAGTGCAACGTCCTATTTGTGATGGGGAGGCGTTTCCCTTATTTCCATTTCACCCCTTTTCGACTTTTGCTTACCACCAGTAATCCTATACTCACTAACAACCCAATGATTAAAATTAATACTCGCCATGTTTCATCATCGTTTTCCAATCAAAATAGTAAGATGATCAGTTAGTTTGGAACCAACAGAGTAAAAGAAAATGACATTCTTAATGTATGGGAGTGAATGGGTCAATCAAACTGTTTTCCAACTTGTTTACGGTTCCTCTTCAATAAATCTCATGAAAAGTCAACAGGGTGAAGTGTGCACAACAATGGAGCAAGTACACATCTTGGATAGAGCCAGTTAAAAGAGGGAGAGAGATTGGAGCACAAGGCAAATTATTGTTGGGTTAAATTTGAATAGGTAAAAAGCAAAATAAGGAGGGGTGATCGCGATTGTACACTGTGGGGGGGAAGGATGCTGAGTTCTGCTTCTGATCAATGGGAGGTAGCCAAGGTACTATCCAGCAGAAACCCCTCCAAGAAGCTCAGGTCTAGTGGCTGTCATTGCAAAAGTTGAGGAGAGTTTTGGTCAGACATATTGCCCCTTGAAAAGTGATTGAGATTGTTAGGATAATTAGGTTAGAAGATATCACAATGATTGAGCCAATGTTTCACCAAAGTCTAGCAAGAAGAATCTACAGTTACAAAACGACATACACTTGTTATAAATCGGTGAGTGGCACTACTCTTTTTTACATGTTTAGCTTCAATAATTCGATGGTAAATCATCGTCTCCTCCTTGCCCTAATTAATTGTACGTAAATGGGAACGTTTTTACGTGTGTTCTTTGTCTATCCTCATTGGTGATTAACTCAAACAAAAGGAAAAGGTCACTCTCGATGACGTACGTGTTCCCATCGAGTAATGCATGTATTCTCTGTTAAAGAGTCGAATTTAAATATATTTTTCGCTCTGTTTCTCTGTTCTTTTGAACCCATTTTAATCTTTAGTGAAGCAACTTCGTTTGTCATCTTTCTTTAGTATTGATTGAGATGATCCTTTTGTTATAATCACTAACCCAAATTATGCTTGGAGTTAATGTTGTTGTCCATAAGCCACCTTGGAAACCTTGGGCATGAGTTGTACAATAAATATGAAGGCTAGTGGAATTTATTTTATACTAAAGTTAATTTTTCATTTAAATTTAAATGACAGATTATTCATATGATAAAAAAATAATTTGGGTCAGGTTGAAAATCATTGACCGAGCCTCGTCTGGAACGACCCGGGCTTGCTGGCCTAGGAGGCTTCTAGCCCAGTTCCAGGTCTAAGTAATCTAAAGCCCAATAATCGCCCCTAACAAGGTCCAAGAAACATCATACAAGTTAGGACAATGGAAAGCTGAGAAACCCTCAAAACCCATCCGAGAGTGGGATGGTGCAGCATGCAAGCTCCTGGGAAGCGCATCCCAAGATCTCTAAGTTACAACTATGTACAAAGCCCCCGAGTCAAATTGAGACAGATTTAATTACTATTTTTAAATGCATAAGATCAATACCAATGTCAAATAAGCCAAAAAGTTATCTTGTGCTATAATCTCTGTATTTTGAACTTCTCTTTCACTGCTTGAAACACAATGGTTTCAATAAAAATTTGCTAGACATCTGCTCTCATTCTCATGGCAGGTATGTTTGCCAAATCCTAAGTATCTACTACCTACAAACTGTATTAATTAAGAGTCTTACAACTGTTGCTGATGCTTTGCAATTTGCGCAACATGCAAACCATTTAACATTATAATGTCTACTCTTTTTCTCATTCCAGAAAAAATGTTAATTGCTTCGTGGGGTTGATATTTGAAGAAACCATTTTAACAGTTATAACCTAGATAACATGAGCTGAACTGAAAGCTATACAATTAAGGGCAATTTGCAAACTAAGAGCTATGCAAAGTAGCAATAAAAGCAGCAAAATTTAACAAGATGCATCTTCAGATGCTGGTGTAGCTGTTGCAGCCAAGAAAAGAATGAGAAGACACTGGCAGGTTTGCAACAGAAAGAATTATAGAGCCAAGAGCTACATGGGAGGGCACTGCAAGCATATTTTGCTTAATCAGTTATTTAATTGCCACCAGCTTCGTATACAGAGAACTGTATAAGAAACTGTTGAAGTACATTTGCTTAACATGAATCTTGTACATTAAATATAAAACATTGGGGAAGATTGAAAGGGACTTTGAGAGATGCCTAATCTGCTATCCCGAATCAGCGGCCAAAACAGTAAGTCTCTACAATGTAACTCAAAAGCTGCAAGGAAAATGGCAGACATGAGAATTATGCTCATCAGATGAGAAGCCAGACAAGAGAACAGCTGTACATCTACCTCTGAGGTGATCAATAGCATAAATAATACCACAGATGTCCTGAGCTGTTGTATATTCAGAGTTTATATCAGACCAAACAAATCCGAAATTTATGCTACTGGATGTCTTTTGATTGTTTTTCTTATTTATTTCTATGCAGTGTGTTCAAGTCTAATCGCTTTAATGAAGGTTCTCATCTGATTGAAGTGCATCAGATTCAATTTAACAATCACCGTCACAAGAATCTTTAAAACCAAGACAGATGGAAATAGAAATTTTACATCCAAAATGGATTTCTAAATTGTATAATTCCTTAAAATATCTTGACTCCATCCCTTTTGCTAGGCTCTATATTAGCTCCGATCTTCACATCTCTGAGTTCTCACCCACAAAAGAAAGTTAAATCTCTTCATCCACAGGCAACAGGCACCACATCCAACTCCTGATCTCCCTAAATGAAACTTCAGTACACACTTGCATTGTGGATTGCCCTCAGTGTTTGGTCTCTTTGGTCCTCTACAAGTGAAAGTTCTCCGACTTCTGTTTACAAAATCCCTTCCAAGACTCAAAATTCCACCATTTTTTGGCCCTTAAACACCCTAAACATTCAAGGATTCCCTTAATAGAATTCAACTAACATTTCTCTAAAATTCAGTACCCAGGATTAACTGTTGCAAGTAAATGAAATTTAATTTAAAAACCACATAATTAGGCCAAAACATGAAAACCCATAACCAATTTGTTTTAGTATATGCTGTTGAACCGCTCTAGAACCAAAATCCCTATCACCCAAACCAGCTTGATATAGCTATTAATAATTTAAAGAACGAAATTAGACCAAATTATACAAATTTAATAACAAGAAAAAAAAACAGACTAGAACTAATATAATGAATAGACAACATTATCATCGTAAATCAACAATTCCACACAAAAACGATTATTTGCTACAAATTTTGTTCTTCAAAATTGAAAAACCTGAAAGATTATTCGATGGGTTTAGTCGCAGCGTTGGTAGAGCTTAAAATTTTCGGCTGCTGATGAATCCCTTGTTGTTGCTGAACCGATTTTCGCTCTATCTCTCGCCATTTGTTGATCCCAATAGTAAAGATAACTGTAAATATAAATAAATAACTAATCAAAGCAAGTCTCTTTTAGCGTTGGAAAAAAAAAAAAGAAAAGAAAAGAGATTGATTGAAGATAGTTACATGCAGCGCCGGCGAAGTAGAGGAGACGGAGGACTTTGGGGCCGGGGGGACCTGCCGCTTCCTCTCCCGTCATTTCACTTAGATTCCTTTGCCACGGCGTGGATATTTTCAGCTGAGAAGTTTGAGAGAGAAAAAGTGGTGCTTCCTTTTTCTTAGTAAATAATGATGAGAAAGAAGGGCAACGCGGGAAAATTATATTAAAGTACAAACTCTTCATTTTAATCCTATTCCTTGGTTCTTTGTCTCTCTGACGACGACTCCTTTCCTCTTTCCGATCCCTCCCCTTCGTATCGAAACGCTGTATCTCGTCGGTCATTGAAGGAAAGCAAATAAAATGGAGAGAAAGCAAAGCTCCAAATTGAACATTGCCATCATACACCCAGATCTTGGCATAGGTACCCCTTTCTCAGCTGATAAATTTAAATTTTGAAAGGAAAATCTTTACGGTAATTTTATTACTGCCCTTTGATTGATTGCTGAGAAAATTGAAGAAATCAACGGGGAAAAAAAGAGAGATAATTTTTAGGTTTATTTTGGTGGATAATTAGGCTTCAAAGTTTTAATTTTGAGTAGGAAAAAGCTTAATCTTGTTATTTGAATTCGAGGGTTGAGATTATTAGTTTCCATAGCAAATATCAGTTAATTTTCTTTTTCCAGATTAAAAAAGGACAAATTTTTTAATGCTGTTGCTCTTCTGTTCTGATTTAAAGGTGGAGCTGAAAGATTGATTGTTGATGCGGCCGTTGAATTAGCATCCCATGGGCACAGTGTTCATATTTTCACAGCTCACCATGACAAAAATCGATGCTTTGAGGAAACCCGTGCTGGTAAATTTCTTTTCTATTTTTTCAATAATTTTAGCAGCTTATTTATGAAGTTAAAAATAGACAAATTGGAAAGAGAAATTTTTATCAGAATTATGATTTATCTTTTAAAGTTCATTGCAGTAAGTATACTGCTCGATTATAGCCGAGCAGGAGAAGAGAATTGGGCTTAGTTCCGACTTAAAAAAAGTCGGAGAATGTTTTGAAATTGGGTCTAACTGAAATTCAATTACACCCTGGCATGGTTATCCAGGTATCTTTCCAGTTACAGTGTATGGTGACTTCCTACCACGACATATTTTCTACCGTCTTCATGCTGTATGTGCATATCTGCGCTGCATGTTTGTTGCTCTTTGTGTGCTGTTCATGTGGCCATCATTTGATGTTATACTAGCAGACCAGGTCTCTGTTGTCATCCCATTGGTGAAACTTAAAAAGTCAACAAAGGTATATAAAATTAATCTATATGAATTGTTATCTAGAATTTCTGGCGTGATAGCTCTTTCACATAGCGCTCCTTTTTTCGCAGGTTGTGTTCTATTGTCATTTTCCTGATTTGTTACTAGCTCAGCATACAACGTTTCTTAGGAGGATGTACAGGAAACCTATTGATTTTATAGAAGAACTGACAACAGGTTGGGTCCCTGTGCTGCCTCTTTGTTCTTATGGAATGTGGAATATAATGTTCATCTTTATTTGTTCTTTTGCTATGTTTTGGAAATTGGGATGCAGGAATGGCAGATATGATACTTGTTAATAGCAGATTTACTGCATCTACCTTTGCGAAAACATTTAAGCATCTTCATGCACGAGGAATTAGACCAGCTGTTCTTCACCCTGCAGTTAATGTGGATCAGTTTGAGAAGCCACATTCTTATAAGTAACCAACATGCTCGTACATCCCATGATCTCCTTTTGTTTAAACTCTCATTTTGAAACATTTTTTCAATTATGTAAAACTTAACATCAAAAGCTTCACTCTGAATTATATTTTGTTGCTTGGGCTAGGTTGAATTTTCTCTCCATCAATCGCTTTGAAAGGAAAAAAAACATAGATTTAGCAGTTTCTGCTTTTGCGATGCTTCACACTCTTGAAGGAAATATCCATCAAACTTCTACCCTGGCTGATGCTAACTTGACAATTGCTGGCAAGTTCCTTCTCATTTTTGTTTTATGAGTGCTACCATTGGACATTTTAAGCTGACTGATAGATTTTGTATTTGGATAAAATATCTTCATCTCATTATTATTTTGTGGTGAAATGGGGAGTACTTCAATTAGGATTTGTGACTTATTAAGTGTATTTTTTTTTTTAAAAAAAAATGAAGTTCTCAATGCTGTAGTTCAGTCTTGATATTTGTAATAGCCTAGAATACTGTTGTGCTGCAATGTCAGTATTAACAGGTTAGAAAGTCTGTGATAGGTAACCCTGATAAATCCAACTGTCACAGTGGAGTATATAGAGAAGATGCTCTGTTGGCCAGGATATTTCATATGTTTTCTTACAAATAATTACTTGGGGAAGGTTGGACAGGCAGAACTTTAGTTATAATTGTTGGTTGCACACCTGGTATTCCATTGAAAAAGGATCACTGTGATCCAGGGATTTCACTTAAATTCTCATCATATGCTATGTAAATGTGAAAGCAATAGTGTTTCTAATATGGATAATAAACGGTTTCGTTCTCTCTTTCACCTTCTGGTATTACTTTCTACAGTAAAATGAACATACATTTCTTCTGTCTCTTTCTGCTTTTAAATTTTAGGTGGATATGATAGACGCCTAAGGGAAAATGTGGAGTACTTAGAGGAGCTCAAAAGCTTAGCAGAGAGGGAAGGAGTGGCTGATCAGGTTAATTTTGTTACGTCTTGCTCAACAGCAGAAAGGAATTCTCTGCTCTCTCAATGCCTATGTGTCCTTTATACACCAACGGTATGTTGGCATATATTTTTCTCAAGAACTAATGGGATTAATGATTGAAAAGTAAGTTTAACATACAGCATTTCCAATTCAATGCAGGATGAACACTTTGGCATTGTTCCATTAGAGGCGATGGCAGCACACAAACCTGTTATAGCATGCAACAGTGGTGGTCCTGTGGAAACAATTAAGAATGGAGAAACTGGATTTCTTTGTGATCCAACTCCAAAGGACTTTGCTTTGGCCATGGCTAAACTCATTCAAGACCCAGAGATGGCAAAGAGAATGGGGGAACAGGCTAGGCAGCATGTCAATGAATCATTTTCTACAAATATTTTTGGCCAGCGTTTGAATCAGTTTCTTCTGGATGTTGCTAGACATAAGCAGGACTGAAAATGGGGATGAGAAATGAAAGATGACCTTTTTCAACATAATATGCGGACACTGTCAACATTAGCCTATCCTTACATCATCAGTAGTGTTTTCTTTCTTGAGCCATTAGGAGGGATGGCATTTATACTTGAGATGGTTAGCCAAGTCAACTAAATCTAATGACTTATTATATGAGTGTGATATAACTCTCTTGTTGGATTTTACAGCTACTAGTGCAAGAAAAATGCGATATTTTTGTGGTTATGTTGACTCCGTTATTGTTCCATAATGGACAATTGCTTTTGGCTTATTTAGATAATTTCTGGGTTTGTGTTGATGAAACCTTGAAGAGATGTTTTCTTTCATTTCAAAGTGAGAATTTGATGATTAATTTGATTGTAGCTTTGGAGACAGCATAAGGAATTACAAGTCAATTGATATCAAAGACATGGTTTCTTTGCAAGCATGTGATGTGATAACTGAGATTTGATTTGGCCTTTCCTTTGTTTACTTTTGATAGTGAAATCTGGACAAGGTGAAAGGCTTTCCGCGATGAAATTCAGTTGAAGACTGCTAATGAGACATACCAGATTGAATAAATTGAGATAAGATGATATATCTAGTAGAACTCTAAATGCAGATACGCCATTGTGACTAAGCTTCTGAGCTTACAGTTAGCAGATATTTCAGATACCACTAAGCCTCCCTGAGATCACCACTCTATTCCTTTACGGCAATGTTATCTTTTCAGCTCATTTTCTTCAATTTCTCAGATCACTATTCTTCTCTTTTATTGCAAAATGATCTAGCAATCGGTAACTCACTTAAGAATTAATTAAGAAATTTTATCTTTTGGGGCATTTTCCGTTTCTATCATTCTTGGATGTTGCAGTATAACCCCTTATAAAAATCTTGGCTACGTTCTCTCTGCAAAATTTCGATACATGATGGCTAGTGAGAAACAACAGGAGAGTTTGGCCAAAGTTGTAGGAGATAAATACTGCTCAATCTTGAATGAAGTAGCAGAGAACATAGAGTGGAGACATGGTGGCCCTCCCATTTTCGATGCTGTAGACATGGTGGCTGGTTCTTTCAGTTGATTAGTCTCTCTTTCTCCTGAGTATGGTCTTTTATTCTGATTAGTTTGCGGGAATGGCCTAAAGGATCAATAGAACAAACTGTTCAAATGCCGCCAAGTCATGGGAGGTAGAGCTTTCTCGCAAGACTCGTTTACAAGACTTCAAAACTATAAATCCAGAAAAGTTCAAGCTCATTGTTAATGGTATCTGATCCTCTTGGTTACCCTTTTCAATCATACGTTCAAAGCCATGGATTTCAAGTAAGTTGTTGGTGACTTTGATGTAAACAACCTAAATTTCATGATAAATAGGAAGGGAAGGACAGTCAGGGGAAGAGGATCTTAAGCTTGGAAACTACACTGCCTTACTAAAGAACTCTCCGCCAGAGGAGTTTCAGTACTACTAATCAGATGAATAGACCTTTGAATCATCTCTTGATGCTTTTCGGACAGCTCTGTCTCGTGGATTTGCATGGGAAGTAATCAGTGTTTACTCAGGACCTCCTTTGATAACTTTCAAATTCAGGCACTGGGCTTATTTCGGGGGTCCTTACAAAGGACATGCCCCCACGGGAGAAATGGTTTGAGTTCAATCGGATTGGAGTTATGAAGGTGCCTTCCCTGCTCTCTCTCTCTACAGATTCAGAAGCTATCTATCATTCATAATCATTTAGATAGGACATTGAATTTTGCTGTTAGTCCATGATCTTGAACAATGTGGTGAATTCTATCAGGTTGATAAAGAAAATGTGGTGAAAAACAGTAGTCAATATCATTGACATCTCTCAAGCAGCTTTCTCTTTTTGCCTCATCCGGTGAACTTCTCCCATCAGTAACAGTCCTAGCTTTGAAACCATGAGGATTCGTTAATCTATTTGTTTTCACGTTCAGGTTGATGAATCAATGAGGGCAGAGGAGGTTGAAATTTACTGTGATCCAGCAGAGCTGTTTGCAGGCCTTCCCAAGGTACCACGTAGCTCATCAAGGTCAAACACAAAACAACACAATTCCAAAGATACATCGACATCTTCCCATCACTGTCCATTCTGCAAGTGAACAAATAAACAGGTTTTGCTTCCTTTTTGGTGATGCAAACGTAAGTTGATTCAGCCTACAAAACAACACATCTTTCCTAGCAAATGTCAAATGTAAACAAAACATGGGAATATGATCAAGGACTTAGATCACTTGTCTTGTTAGCTTGATTAATTGTTTGCTATGCGCAGTTATATGAAAACTAAAATGAATAAAATTGTAGTATCATGCCAAGTGGCCCAAAATTTAAATAGATGAGGCCCTGTAAAGGTACTGGATGCAAATTGTGGGCGTGGAATGGAGTTCAACTGACTCCTGGGTGTTGGTTTGGCTGTCAATTAACTTGAGGATGGAAGTAGAGATTGTATTGCTAGTGCTAGAGGTCAAGATTTAAGTATTTCTTGGATTGTTAGCCAGAGTTTGTGCTAAAACATAGGTGTTTTTGTATTAGGTTCCAAATTAACCTTTAATTATAAAAATTTATTCAACTAAAAATAAAAATATAAAATCTTGATTTTTAAATTTTTGTAAATAATTTAAGAATTTTTTTAAAATATTATATCTGTCAATTTTTATAAACAGCTATTGTTTAAATGAATGCGTGATTTGAGCCGCTATTATGAACCTTAGTTTACATTAGGATTCATGTGAAGGTATTAATAATTGTTTTTATCGATACATTTAAATATATACTTGATTATTAAATCAAATATTCGTTTGCAAGAATAGTTTGACCATTCACATGCAAATATATATTTTTTTATATGCTTATTTCGAGTCTTGAATTGTATAATTATGTCACTAAAAATCTTCAAGTGTTCTAAAAAAATTTGACTTTGGGCATCCACGTAACAAACATTATGAGTAAGAATATTTTTATTATTTTTCCCCATAATATTTAGTTCCATTGATCAATAAATAAATTTCATATTCAGCCAGTTTTACAATTTTTCTCTTTAAAAGATTCTGGTGACGATTATGAAATTCCAAATTAAATAAAGTAGTTTAAGCAATTAAATTTTCCATTAATTGTAGGCTGAAAACTCTAGTAAACAATTAACAAGTCTGCTTCATTGATTTCCTGAAGATAGGGACCTGCAAATAATTACAAAGAAAAAAAAAACCTTTGGGATCCATTTGGAAGCTAATAATCATTTGGTGAAGGAAAGAATCAAGCTCATTTGATTGGTGCACCTGCACTATGACATTAGCAATAGGTTGGTACCTCATTTTAGTTCTAGTGCGTTTGAATTGTTCAAAGCCATTGATTGTTTGATTTAATTATGAGTGAAACAATTGCATTAAAAATCAAGCTTGACTGACTGGCTTATCCCATTTGCAAAATGTCAAAGTTGGCTCTTAACAAAAGGATTAATTTGAATCCTATGACAGAAGTGGGTCCAAAGATTGACAGTTAAGAACTTTGAACATTGCATGAACATCCAGGAAGAAGTCAAGTATCCAATTTGAATGGGTGGGTTTCAGGTGAATGGATTGAAATGGGAAACTCCCCAGGTTAATGGGAATTTATTCTCCAAAACTAAGGTAAACCTCTGGAAAGTTTAAGGTTTTTATTGGTTTACACTTGTTTTTCATTTTTGAGTCAATTACTAGGAAAACAAACAACAAATAAGGGCAGGCATGCACCAATGAAGACCAGAAATCGACAATGGGAATCTTCGGATGTTGAACAGTGTGCTTTATGATCTTATTATACATCATATACATGTCCATGGCGAATCTTCAATATATGTTTCTTAATTCGTAACAGTACAAGGATGGAGACAAATACATAAATAAAGAAATGATGGTTTTACCTAGAAAAACATGAACATATGCATACGATGTACTATATGCTTATTTTGATGACCATCTTGTAATAAGTGACAGACATAACACGAAAGTCGAGCACATGGCTTGGTTGCCATTCGACACCCTTTATTCATAAGAAATTGAAACATATAGCTTTATATAAAGAGAATGATAGATAGTAATCTCTTTATTATTTTCAGATATGAACTCATGA